ATATCTGCTATAGTTATAGCATTATTTTTTCAATAAACTAGTAAAAGATACGTACAATAAAATTGTTTTTATTTATAAGTTGTTACAATGACGCRSTAGGAATTTCGTTTGAATAGGAATAGTGCTAATTGGTTAAACAGATTCATAACATAACGTCAGTTTTTATTAGTATATATATATCCAATATTTCGTAAATACAAGATAACTATTGTAACATAGACATGTTTTGGCCAGGAAAGAACTCGCAAAAAAATAAATACTAAATGTAGTTAGTAAAATATATATATTCTTATGAAAAATTTATTTCCAGGTCTTTAGTAAAATTGAATGACCAAAATAATTTATGTTTAAAATCTATTAAACAATAGACAATGATTACTAATATGTCTTATATATTTTTTAAAAATAATGTAATATAAATAAAATCAAAAATTAGTCTGTTAATTAAATAATCTTACTCTGAAATCCACAATAATATGTTAGAAAACCTATAAAATTTTAAAATTTTTCATATAAAAATACGCTCGAGTAACATTAACAGTTAGTTTATTTAATGAGTCATCAATCGTTATAATGAATCAATTGCAWAGGGCAACTAAGTCTTGTTTGAAGAAAAAAAGACTTGTTAAATATTAAAAGTGGTTGTTTATATTATGTTTACAATCCGATATTAAACTGTAATTTAAGAATATAAATAACACATAATATATCAACCTTTTGATTGTTTTAATCATAAAGRATATCATACAAATTAATTAATAATAACAAAACTTACTACGACAATAATCTAAAAATAAAATAATACATTTGTATTCGCCATTATTATATTATTTATTTACTACAAAATAACTACTATTGAATAATTATTACATGCTAAAAAACTATTAATTTCAACTATATCAGTTCGATAATTTTATATACGTTATTCTACCTTTTAACTACTATAGTATAACAGTTCATCTGCATAATGTAACGGAATTAATTTATATGAATAATATGATGTACAGAAGATTTTTATGTTTCCTCTAAAATCAATGAAATGTCTTTTATTAAAAAAAATCCGTAAATATACAAATTTTACAATTTTATCATATTGTATTCAAWTAAAATATAATTATGGCATACATTTTATTTTTCTGTAAGGTTATTATAATATAGTTATGTTTGATTTCAGATTAAACATAAAAACAATAAAAAATAATATGTATATCCATACTTTGTCTGATAACCAGGTCATGACCTGAAGTAGGTGGTATAGTAACTGAAATTGCAATAACTATAACTGTGATCGTTATTAAACTAAACATTTTAATTTAATATAAGAAAATAATGTGAACGTTTAACAATGATTAAAATAAAATAATGTTTCTCGATGTCTTTTATAAGCGAAGCCCCCTCCCCCACCCGCATAAAAGAAATAATGTTCAGAATAAATAATTCATTTTTTGTTTATCATAAAAAATAATGATATTTTTTTTTATTTGTTGGTTAATACTATATTTATTTTTCAACACCTGTGTAAATAAGTTTTATTTTTCCTAGAATACAATAGGTACATGTTACAACTTCTCACAACGACTAACAGCGGCGTGCAGTTTGAGATTTAAGACTATTGAGATACACTATTTATCGGTCGTACACAGCTGCTCTCAATTTTATAACGTAATATATATCTTGTACTTAAGATTACATAATTTTGGAAGAAAATTATTCTCTGTATTGAATGGCTGGAATGGTTGAATGAAGATTTTTGTTTTAAATACCTATTTATTTATGGCTTTGAATTTATTTTATTTTACAGATTCGTTAATACCGCCAAAATCTGCAATTTTCAAAGTTTTTTTCGCAAAGTGGTTCCATAATCCGTATCTTATTCAATGAAGTACAGTGTATTCATTTTATTCAAAATCATAAAATTAACAATATTATTTTGCACATTTCATAATATAAGAAACTTATTCAAATCTATAATAAACTTTAATATGCATGTTATTCAAACTGTATTCACTTTTGGATGAAGCTAATAAAAACTAATCTAATACGATTTACTTAAAAATGAAAATTTTTAAATTTGTGTGGTACAGTTCAGGACAAAATATTAAGATGAACTTATAATTCTCACAAATTTGGCGAAGTAATGATGTTTAGTAGGCATCTTTTTTTGTATTGGTATACAAACTACAAAACTCAACGTTAAACAAAAACGTCCTTTTACTTGTACATAAAATCTAATTTATTTTTCGATTTTAAATATTTTAGCTTACCTGGGTGCAAACTTTTTCGTTCAGAATTAAATTTATGTTTGGTAACAAATCGTTACCAACCACAATAGGTATGCCAAACAACGTAGCATCGGTTTTCCATTGA